GCTGGGCACCGTGGCCGTCATCGGCATCGCCACGAAGCGGGCGGCCATGCAGTGCCAGGGCTACGTGGCCCTGCTGGGGAGCGACGACCAGAGCTGGGGCTGGAACCTGGTGGACAATAACTTGCTGCACAACGGGGAGGTCAACGGCAGCTTCCCGCAGTGCAACAACGCGCCGAAATACCAGGTGAGCGGGGCTTGGCGCTGGCCTGCGGGGCCGGCTTCCCTGGTGCCTCACAGCTGCTTGCTCAATGGGGCCTGCTTGCCCATCCGAGCATCTCTTTGCCATCCCTGCAGAAGGTAGGCAGCTTTGCCTCGTGAGGCTTCTTCTCCTTAGTTTGTCTTTTTACTCCTTCCTTACATTGCACCTGTTCAGCCTGCCCGGTCCTCTGTCACCTCCCTGCTGCTATCTCAAATATCAGGCGAGGCCCGTGCATCGTGGGTGGTGCTTTAACACCACGTTGCTTTTTAAAGCAAAAGCTGACGAGGCTGTTTTAGCTCTCTGGAGTAAGGCTTGGCCCCGCGGTGAGGTGGCTGCGTGCAGTAGGTGTTTCACCCTTTTGTGAGCTGAGGCTGGTGCTCAGGTAGGAGCCTTCCTGCAAAACCCCGCAGTGGCACTGCGTGCTGTGTGCTGGCTCTCTGGCTGTCTTCCCGTAGCTGACGTCCTTCAGCTGGGCTATGAAGTCCAGATAATTTCAGGTTATTAAAGAGTGCGTGCTACCTTTTTGTCTGCCTAGAAGTGTTTGCCCTTGTTCCTCTGGCTGCTTGCACAGCCACATTTTGACTGCTGGATTTCCTCATGCTGCAACTTAAGCTGCGTGCAGTGAAATCCCCATCTGGTAACATCATGGCTTGGTATGAATAATGCCTTGCGTGTCAGTTGTGCATGAAGATCTAACTGTTACCTTATATTTATAAATTTTGCATAAAAGTTCACTGCCAAGCAGTTAATTCTGTCTGGAAGCTATACCTGCCATTTTTGCTATTAGTAACTGAAAATAATGTAATTAAAGACAGTTAGATTTCACGTTTCCTGACATGTGCATTGGCTCAGCACTTGCCAGGCCTGCCCGTTTGCAGACTTCCTGCTGTCCCTGACTAGGCCTTTCTGCAGCAACAGGGTGAGGAAGGGTTTGAAAGCCAAGAAGACTCTCGTGGGGACTCAAGGGTGAATGGTGCTTGCAGTCACTGCTTTCTTCTTAAAAATTGTTGAGCGCTCAAACTGTTGATCCTTTAAAGTATTTTATGCTTGGTAAGAAACGGGCAGTGATGTGCTTATGGAAAATATACTTAAAGGTAATAGAAATTCGTTAGAGTCAGTTCGAAGAAAAAAATGTCTTGTCTGGAAGCAATCCCCAGCATTGCGGTTGGCTGGCAGGGATAAGAAGTTTGTGCTATATCATGCTGTGTTTGCTGCTGGTGCCTGCGACTTGTGTTTATAGTTGAAAATAGTAAGTACTAGATAAATGCAGGGAGCATTGTGTACACCCTGCTCCAAGACTCTTCTTGCATTCGGTGTTGATTTCGCTTGTCTGTGTATATTTGTTTGAGATTTTTCATGCTTACTTTGCCCAGACTTTGCACTGAAACTTCCTTCTGCCTTGGTCAGGGAACATCTGTGGCAGTACTTGAGCAATCAGGAGTGTGTTCTGGTATGCTTTGGCTGTGGCAGTCACCTTTTTAAAACATGTTCATTGACTTTAAAATTGCTCTTTGCGGACCTTACAGGTCAGTGGTAACAAGCAGATACAGAATACAGGTCACTTTGAGCTGAGGCCAACAATTCCCAGATTTCTGCTGTATTTTGAAGCAGAAACTGCACTGTACGCTTGCTGACAGTGCTGTCGCAAGGTTCAGGTGTGAAGGATTACGTTGATCACCTTGTGGGTGTTGAGATACAATCTGCCCACTTGGAGACAGGCAGAAGAGGTATTTGGGATCTTAACACATACAAGAGAAATGGAGAAATTCCTGTCGTAAAAACGTGGTAATGAGAAAAAGGAGAGCCTTGCTTTAATCTGATCTGCTGTAATACGTGTGGGTTTTGCTTTATTTTTGTGTCTCCATTTGAGTATGTTGACTGTTCTTTTTTTTTCTTTTTTCTCCCTCCTCTCCTACCTCTGTTTCCAGATAGGTGAAAGGATTCGAGTTATCCTGGACATGGAAGACAAAACGTTAGCATTTGAGAGGGGCTATGAGTTCTTGGGAGTTGCGTTCAGAGGACTGCCAAAAGTTTGCCTGTATCCGGCAGTGTCTGCTGTGTACGGTAACACAGAAGTGACTTTGGTCTACCTGGGAAAACCTTTGGATGGATGACATGGATTGTTTCGTTGGGACGTCAAGATGTGGATGACTGGGAGGAGAAATCTGCATGTTGGTTAGAGGGAAACGTGTATTAAAAAAAAAAAAAGTGTGGGTGTGTGTCCAAGAACCATCAAGGAAACCGTACAGAATTTTGAAACGGAGGACCAGCCATACTTCAGGAATTGTGTTACATTTCCTCTTTCTACCAGGCCAGAAAAATCCTCAGGGTTGCAGTTGGTTGAGTGGGAAGCTGACACATGCATGTTGCAACAGATTTCATTGCTAAGATGGCAGTGCGTGACCTCAAATATTTAACGAAGGATTTGATATAAAACTGCTTGAGGAAATTAACCTGAGATTTGTAAGTAGCGTGTTTTGTGAAAGACTCCCATTTTAAAACTGCTTGTTCCTTTCCTTCCCTCCTTTGGGCCGACATGGGTACCAGAGGAGAGCAAGTCTGGTTGGGTTTTATTTACAGTTTTTAACATACTGAGAAGCATGGTCTGTCTGGACTGCCCTTCTCCAGTATAACGATATAAAATGTGTGCAGCTATTTTTAAGTGTATTTTAAGAATTGTATATATAGACCATGTTGAAAAGAACAGTTAAAACAAAAGAAAGGGTTTGCTTTATTCTAACTGGAATATCATTTCTTAAAGGGAAAAACAAACAAACAAACAAACCACTACATGGCATCAGAAAAACCTTGGACAGGTGTATAACATTCATGTAAATGTACTTCTGTTGTATTGTAAAGCATTTTGGGATGCTCTTGTGGAGTACGGTGCTACATTGGCTCATTTTCTGTGTAGCTGGAAGCTTCTGTAGCTTTAACGATAGTTTTGTTCTCTGTAGGAAATGCAAAAAGTGTGCCCTGGAAGTTTTGTTTTGCCAGAATTCACGGTCCACCTTTAAGAAAGGAAGCTGCAACACAGTGCTGAGCTTGTCTTCCTTTCGAGGTCAAAAAATACAAGCTTTTGAAAGCGTTCTTACGCTTTCCAATCACTGTAGTGAAATATTTCCAAAGAATGAGGAGGCAGCGTTCAGCTTCTTAGTCGATCTTAGTTTCAATTTAAATGGCTTTTCAAGGCTTTACGACTTCACCTTTATTTAATTATAAAATCCCTCAGTACCCAAGTATTCACTTGCCAGTTTTCAGTCAGGACTGGCAGAATTCTCGCCTCTGTTTGATGGGGATTCTGGATTGGGTTCAATGCTTGTGCTTTTTACTTTGCACTATTTTTCTGAAATCCTCTTACAAAACTGCCTGGTGTGTCACTGCTCTGGCACGTGCAGGCTGAAGAGGCTGTGCAGCTTAGGGGCACGGGAAGGAGCTGCTTTCTGGGGACACTGAGGTGGAAAGGTCTGTAGAGAGCTGCAGAAGGGCTCCTTTTAAAATAGGGACTGAAGCCGGTGAGCCCTCTGGTTGTCTCTCGGCTCTCATTTCTCCTTCATTGGTGTTTCCCAAAGCTTCGCAGAGCGAATTGGACTGTTCTGGAGTTGTTGCTGGTGTGCTATTCAGAGAGGGTGGAGGAAATCTTTATGCAGCCTCTTTCTGCTTTATTTGCATTGGAGAATGTGAATTGCTTGACCTCAGACACTGACAATTCTCTGAGCCAGGGGGGGATTTCTCTTAGGCTGTGCTCATTTACCCCCCAGTACTCAAGTGCTGTGAGGGAAGTGGCACGAGCAGGTGACTGAGGTGCCCAGCCTGCTGCTGCAGAGCTCTCCTGGGAGTGCTTTTTACACAGTAGTTAACTGTGCACTGGAACAGAGGATACACATTATTACCATTTAAAAGGATTTAAAAGTATTTATTTGTTTTATGTGTTGTTTATTGCTTAAAGGCAATGTTGAGGTCAGTTCCTCTTGGCTGTGTTAAAGAAACGAAATATGCAGTGAGAAATGATGCTGAAATGGTACTGAGAGCAACTGAATAAATGGAGAGAGACTGGCACGAAGTGAGTACCTGTGGGAAAAGTCAGTTACAAACTTTGCTTGTACTGGACTGTAGGGAACTTGTCTAAATAGCAGAACCATGTGGCATGAGGTAGGGAAAAAAGGAAACACAACCCTGTCCCGTTTCTGAAAGGAACATCTTCACTGAGGTGTGAACGTGTGGGCGCAGTCTTGAAAAATGTGACCGCTGCGCTGGCTCACGAATCCAATTAGATGTAAGTAAACCCTGAGAACTTCAGAGGAGTTTCATTCACAAATTACGATTGATTTCCATTCTTCAGACTGCGTCTTGCCCTATAAATAATTTCCCTCTAAATTAGAAATGGTGAAAGTTGAACATTCCTTAAGGGTGGGTTTGGGGGGACTCACTTATGTAAGACTATAACTTATTCCTGGAGACCAATGCTGGCTGTACAAAATATTAAAATAAACTCTGCTATAATTCAGAAGGGTATATCTGTGTGTATTGTTGTAACAACATCTGTGGGGTACTGATAGGAAAAAACAGAGTAGCAGTTTGGTGTGTCCAAACAAAAAGTCTTATCGTCAGGAAGATGACGGCGCTGGGACCCTGTGATCTGCTGCATGAAGAGACAGCTGGCTGGTGGTTACGAGGACCTGAAGACTCGGTAGTTTAATAGCTGTGCTCGTGAAATTACATCCTCTGAGGCAGGGATGCTGGCGCGTGGCAGCATGGGAAAAGGCTTTCCTAGCAGCTGGAGGTCTCCTGACGCAAATTACCGAGCAGCAGAGGAGGTATTGTGCTCGCCGCCGAGGCTGCACTGCCCTGCTGCTGAACAGAGGTGACCTCCTTCCGAGAATAGCAGCTCAGCCTCTCTTTCTGTAGCTTTCAGTATGGAAGTGCAGGATTTCTTGGTACTTGCAGGAAAAAGTAAGGATTCCGGGTTGAATTCTACTCCACAGCAACAGCATCCAAGATGAGCAGTGGTAGTTAATAAAAGTAGGTTTTGATGGACTTTCTCTCCCCATTATTATTCAGATTATTAAAATTAAACACTGCAGAGCGTTTTGCTCTGTCAGGGATGTGTTTGCTCACTGTCAGCATTTTGCAGGTCTTAAACATGGGCCATCACTGGGAGCAAGTGTGATAGTGCGAACACCACGGAGCAATACTTAAACTTCATCAATTGTTCGCTGTTAGCCCGTGTTACGCAGGTGTGCTTGCTTGAAGGTGATTTTCAACATTTTGCTCACCACCCTTAAAAATTACTAAGAGAGAGGCAGCAGACCCAGATGTGCACAACTGAAGGTACTTGTGCTACCAGACCCAATTTAACTCCTCTCTCTCGTTATTTCTGAATAGCCTTTGTTAAGCTGGGTGTGTGTTACAAATACATCTGTGTATTTGGCTGATGACCTACAGCTGAGACTTTTGACTAACCAGGCAGCTATTTGCTTGCAGCTCTTCTCACTTGGTAAATCATTTTGAGACCGACTTTATTCATCTTTATACTTTGAGCTGGAGTGCTTACAAGAAAGCAGATGGTGAGCTTGCCCTTGGGGGAAAAAAAGAGGCACCCCCTGCTGCCACCTTTGTGGTGGTTCACGCTGGTGGGACAGCAGGATTGCCAGCCCCTCCTGTGTTGTCTATGTCTCGAGCAGCTTTGAGTACCAAACGAATCACGCAGCTGGAGCAGTGATTTCTGACATGGACATGGACAGTCAGCGAGGTCCTACAGCGTGCCCAAGCCCATTCTGCAGCGCTGGGAAGCCGGGAGACACCTCTCCTCTCCGTGAGCTGCAGCCAGCACACCTCCTCCAGGCTGCTCAAGAGAGATGTGCTCGAGATACTTTGAAATAATAAGATTTAACACCTGTAAGATTTAATACCTGTAGTCAAGCCCTGTGATAAGGCATTGTTGTTTACTTTTTACTTGTTTTGCAGCTTTTCCAGTCTAAGAGCTCTAAAAGGTCTTGCTGACTCAAGTGCATGCCTGCTGACCGGGATTCACGTGGTGCTTATGCAGATGTGTTGGCTTCTGCTCGGCTGTGCTGGCTTCATGCTGCTGCTTGGTTCTGGACAGGTCCTTAAACTGGCCGTCCAGCATGTCCAAAAGCATGTAGCAGCATGCTTTGGGCACAATTTAAATATCCAGAGGATTCTGTGTACTTGCCAGGGGATTATGGAAGAGCAGACAAGCCAGGCAACTACCTTTTTCTGCTCTTAGTGTTGTATATTGCAAGGCTTCTGTGATGCCTGAGTCAGGGAGGAATTCGGTCCTGTCTGCAAGGGTCCCGCAGAGCACATCCTCGCGTGTGGGTGGACTTCACTCATGTGACACCAAGCTCTTGTTTCGCCAGAAGAGATCAATTGCCAGTTGCAAATTTAATTCCAGGGCTTCGTGCAGCTTGTGGGCGTAGTTCAGACAAGGATGGTGGTTTCATTTGACCTTAAAATTAGCTGGATGTTGTAGAGGAGAGGTCAGATGTGCATTCAGTAGTCCGTGTGGGTGAGGGACGGCATTACAACCCTCTGTATGTCCTGGAGCTTTCAACATGGTAAATTCTCAAACACCTGTGTAGGTATGTATGGCTGAAGCCCAAACAGCTGAGGTGTAGCTGAAAGCAGGACAACGTACTGCAGGATGGGGCAGCATCTCAAAACCAACCAGGTTCAACAGATCCTCTTGCAGGAACTACTGGAGGAGGGCTTGTTTCCAGCCAGGAACGCAGGGATGCTCGGAAATACCGTGTGAGGCTGAGCAACTGTGATCAGTAACCAGAGGAGACGGGGTTGTGGTTGGGAGCTCTGAAGCTCTTCCCAAAATCTCTTCATCAAGAATTTCCTTTGAAGTGGCAAACTTTGGCTGATTCTTGTTCAGGGGTGAAGAGGTCTGGTGCTGGCTAGCCAAAAATGTGCTGGAAAAGGGGATTCTACAAGTTACTTCAGAGTGAGCTAAATAACTGCTCGAATTATTCTCCCTTTCCCAGCTAGTGGTTTGACTGCTGTGGTCAAGCAGAACATCATCTGTTTATGTTTAGATAACTCAGACAGATACAGGCTTCAGGATCCTTTAGGATATCCCATTTATTTTGATAAGTGAGCATTTTGCTTATCAGTTGAATAAAACACTGATCTTTTTTGCAGATGTGTGTCGTGAAAACTGGTGGGAGATGAGTAGCTGATCTAGTCGTACTTCATGTATGGGGAGGAACATAAAAAAATCAAAACTAATTCCTTCCTTTCTGGAAGGAACTAAAAAATAAAATAAAAAAATCAAAATGCTGTGGGAAAACACTCTGCTGGGGAGATTTTTTGAAAACCATTTTTTTCTGCTTAAAGAGCAGCACCGAATGTGCATTTCTGGGAGTCCTGTGTGTGCCTTCTACTGGCAAATGCCATTTGGTTTTGTAACTTTTGGCTGTGTTTCAGGTGACAAAGCTGGCCGGGAGCAGATGGCCCTGATCCGGTGGGCTATGTGGGTGAGCCCTGTGTTGAGGCTGAGTTTCTCTTGCCTCGGATGTGTCTGTGTTCTTCTGCCTCCGAACCCAACTGGAATGCATCAGCTTTTCTCCCCGTTTGCTGATGATCTATATTCTAAAATTTCCTTGACACAGGGGATGTGTTTTCCAGATGGCTGCCTCTATTTTTTTCTCTCTCATTTTCGCTGCGATGCTAACAGCAGCGATGAATTAAAATAACTTTCAGGCTGGTAATGGTTTGATCCTGCAACTATGTATAAAACTTGTTTTCTCTAAGTATTTGAGAGGTAACCAGCCCATGGTGATTCCTGAGCCTCTGGGTTTCAGTGCTGATATCTTTGTTCTAGCTAATCTTTACATTATTCCTCATTTTGACTTTATTACCTTACTATTTTATTACCTGTATGAGCTTTATGTTTTTTGTCTGCCAGGAGTTGCTGGAACACTCCTGTTTAACTGCAAGCTACTGGTTTGTAATGTATTGCTTAAAGTTTAGGACTTGGAAGTGCTCCCTGTCTTTCCTTAGGTGTTACAGACCGTGGTTTGTTTTTTCCGTTCTCTTCTCATCTTCTCTCCCTTTGTGACCCTCTTGAATCTTCCTTCCATCATCAGCTGCGTAGAAGGGAATTTCCCGCTGATCCGATCCCCTCCAAGTATACATCCACGGTTGCAGAAGCTCCATGTGTTATAAATAGCTCTGGATGCTGGCACGAACACAACTGCAAGTGCTGTCTGTGCCACCATTCTCCACATGGGCTGGTTCTTGCACAATGTGGGTAATTCAGTGGCTTCTGTGGCCAGGAAAGTGCATTACTGAAATCTGTTCTGGGATCCTTGTTCACATTTGCAATACGGGTTTTTAAATGGGTAGGGGGATGATGTGCTTGGTTTCTGTAAGAGATACTAGACTACCTCGCACTGAGGTATAACTCAGTCTAAAGGAAAAATTAATGAGGTGGTAAATGAGCACTGAAAGCTTTTCCAGCAGTGATGCCGGATCTGCTAGTTTCTCCTATACGCCGCGTTTTTCATTCAGTTACACGTAGTGTGACTTCAGAATGAATTCTCACACCTCCCCACAAGAGGGCAAAGTTAACAGCGCTGTGGGAGCTCGTACCTTAAATTTCCAAAGCTTTGTGCAAAACCAGGGTTTAATGTGGAACCTTCTCTGCTAATGTTACCTCCATTATCCCCTTCTGCTTTTGGGTTTTCAGGGGATGCAGAAGTAGCGTTTTTGAAATATACTTCTTCATTTGAACCCTTGATCCTGAAGTTAGAGTTTATTAAGATTTATTTTCCCTGACAACCTGAGCTGGGACCTCACAATCACCTGCAATGGCAGGAGGGGATTTGGGAGGCTCAAACCAAACATCACCACTGCTGTGCAATGGCAGAACATGCCTCTAGTCGGTCACTTACCAGTCTGCTTATTCACAGACCTTTTCTTCGTTTCAGGCATGTGTGATCTGTGGTCAAAAGATTATATTAAATAGTAAATAAAAATATTCCACTGCAGTTGAAAAAAGTTGTTGAAGGGGGACTTTAAAATAAAACTCACTGTATATTGCAAGTGGTATTTATTCTTCTGCAGTTTTGCAAGCTGAACGAACAAGGGTTTCTCCTTCCTGCTGTGCCTGCACATGCAGATTTGTTGTTAGTTGGCTGGAGTTGTTTCATGTTTGCTTGATTTGTTTTAATTTTTTAATCCAGATTGCTCTACTGTTGTTAAAAGCTCTTTGGTTATATGTTTACCTGCAGGCAGTGTTTGAATGGAGAATAGTATGAAGGTACAACCTTGTCTGTTCTTGCCTTCTGTGTGAAGTGCCTGATCTTGTGAGCTCCCCATTTCTGCAGCTCAACCTCCAGTAATTTCATCCAGAAGCAGCAGGAGCACCGAGTGCATGCGAATGAACGGCTTCCTGGGACACACAATCTTTGTGGGTCTATGGTGTTTTATTGCTCAGGGCCTGTGCTATGTCCCCAGGTGTTTTGCTGTGTGTTTTGCAAAGTGATTTTATTTTTTTCTTGAACTTCTGAATTCAGGCTGTGAACTTGCTCTAATTTGCACAGCACAGGTTTCACATCTTTAGAGGCAAACATAAAGCCAGTGACAGATGTGAAAACAGCTGGTTTACAGCAGCACATATGCTACAGCTACAAAATGTCATTCCCTTGCACACCTTCAAGCACAGTTATGTACCTGCAGCAAGACACACTGGTATCCTTAAGTCCTGCGCTCTTTGCTTAGCTCAGTCCATCAGCTTTGGTTTGCAGTAGGTGAGTTGAAAATTGAGGCAAGAAAAGCTGATCGATAACAGGAAACTCATCTGTTTCCAACCAAAGTAGGTGAACGTGTGCTGTGTGTTTAAGCCCTCCCTAGACTCCCTATAGGTGAATAACATGTTAAATCTGGGAGGGAGTGTGGATTTTACTCCCTCCACAAAATTCCCCAGTACCTGTTTACATGGTACAAGGAAGACTATAGCAGTTATGAGAAAGACTTCAGTGGTTGGAAGCTGAGAGCTTGTGCTTGAGGGTATGAAGTTGTGTTGTTTCTTCGGCATCCTACACTTAGGAGAAGTAGCCATATCCAACAGCTTTTATAAGGTAATTTAAAGAAGTGGGCCCTGCCAGATCCCCAAAAGGCTATCGATATGTACCTTTGTATTTTTAGTGCTGGATGAACTTGCCGATAAGGAAATGGACATTGACTAAAATACTTTTTGTATCGTATCCCAAAAAGTGCAGTGGTTAAAGCCCCTGTATCCACCAGCAGCAACAAGCAGTGGATTTCCAGGGAAATCATCTCTTTGGGGTGCTTTGTTGTGTGGTGGGGTTGGGTTTGGTTTTGTGTTCAGGTGATGGAACAATTTCCTCCCATCTGAGATGGGCACCTGAGCCCTTACGGAGCTTGAGGGTAGGATCTCATGCTTTGTAAACTGCTGAGATATTTTTATTTCACTTTCAGCATACAATCAGCTGTTAAAAGAAGACTTTTCTCAGTGAGAAAAAGGAGCACAGGAGGGGAGGATCTGCTGCGTTAATAGCATCTGCCTGAGCTTTCCCCTTCTCGTGTTCCTGTATTAAGTCTTTGCACATGGGGGCGAGAGGACAATGTCAAATTGAAACCCGAAAGCCTATGCTGAGCGTCTCCCAGATGTAGCTGCAAGGATGAGGTCTCACATATGACAATGTCTCTTCAGGTTAGACTTTGTTTAAAAAAAATGCAGAAACTCACGTACTGGTGTGTCTTTGTTTTCTTACACAAGTCCAAGGACTATGCCCAAAGTGCAAGAGGGCACTCTGGTCCTGAAACCCTGTAGGCTTTGTCACTCATCCCAAAAGTGCTGGGGGGGTGAGATGCTGAGCCCAAAGGAGGAGGAAGATGACTTGGGAAGGTGACCATGGTGTCTTGCTCCCAGCGCTGATGGCAAAGGGCCCTGGGGAGTGCTGTGGCGAGGCAGGGCCCTTGGCCCTCCTGACCGGCAGGGCAAGCAGGGTGGGGACGTGCTTGGCTTGGTCGGGAGCTGCGATAGTTTCGCTTCCCTTTGCATGAATGACACAATTTCTCACTTCTCTTCAGCAGAACAGCAGCAGGAAGGGAGTTATGTGTGACTGCAGAGGGGAGCTGCTTTTCATGCCAGCTTGCATCGCTGAGTGATGTAACGGCAGAAGCTGTCAACGCCTTCTCATTCTGGTGACCAAAGAGCCTCCAAGTCCTGTCAGTTTTACCCTAAAACCTTCAGTAAATGCACTGGGATGGGTCAGCTGCTTATACCGCTGGCCTCAGGTGCGTGCATCTCCCGTGGGTCGCTGCCACACGCTGCCGGCCGGAGCTGTCCCCTGCGGGCTGCAGGCCTCAAACCCGGCCTGGGCATGGCGGGTGGACGAGGGCGGCGGGAGGCAGCGGCCAGGGGGAAGTGAGATCGCTTCTGCGGCTCTCCCCGGCCCACTTCCTCCTCATTTATGTTGTGTGCGCTGGCAGAGGTGGGAGCAGGGAGAGCGGGGACCACAGGGACGGAGCCGCCCATGCTGGATCTGGCCCGGGGCCGGCGCTGCCCGCTGGGAAGAGGATGTGGCTGAGCCGCTGACCGGCTCCCCTCTTCCCTTCCTTCCCGCGCTGTGCTTCCAGAAACACACTTTTGCTTTCTACTAAGACCTTCTTGGCCTTCCTCTGGGCCCCTTGTGGGATGCTTTTGCTGCCTTCAGGCACTGGGGCTGAAAGGGGGCTCCTGCTCGGAGTGCAGGTCCCGGGCCATATGGCGGCGGCTCGCCTGGGCCCCTAGAGCCAGGGCTCATGGCACAGTGCCGCTCTGCTGGGTCGTTTCCTTCCCCACAGGTGTCGGTGTGAGAGCTGGTGCCTCTCTGCAGAGGCAGGCAAGCAAGCGAAGCCCTGTGCTCCCTTGAGAGCAGCTTTGGGAAGCGATGCCCAGAATTAAAGACCCATTCGGATCCCCTCTTTTCACCCAAAAGCCCGGTGTTAGCCAGGGAGGCTCCTGCTGGCTGCAAATAGGGGAGCAAAGGTGGGCTTTGCTGCGGTGAGCAGGTAAAAGTGGAGCACAGGAGTCACAGCCAGCACAGCTGAGGGTGTTCTGGTGGCAGCATTCACAGGCACTGACAGCGGCTGCAAAACCTGAGGCTCTGCAGCCTGAAGTTTTGGTTGGGTTGTTAACATCAGCACTGGCACGTGTTTCCCTGGAAGAAGACAGAGGGTGGCTGGGTAAACAAGCAAGCAGGTTGTTCTGGCGACGGCTAGGGTGGAAGAAAAGAAAAAAGATTTTGAAGCTGATTATAGCTTGCTGATTTGTTTCTTGGTTTCCACTGCTCGTAGTTCGTCTTGAACTGCCAGGCACCTGGCAGCTTCTGGGATAGGGCAGAGCTGCAGCACGTAGCGGTGCTGTATCCAAAGCAGGTGATTACATTAAGGGACTTCTTCACCTGCATTGTCTTGATACCTTTGCATTCACTGTGCACGCTTCAGCCACGTGGCAATTTGAAAGATTTGATGTGGGTTTTAAAGATGGATTTCCTTTAATTTTCTGAGTCCTTCCCGGCCAGTATTTAAACACAGTTTCCCACCTAAAAAGCTTTTTTTTTTTTTTTACCACCCGAACTCCCTAGCATCTGATGGGCCCTGCTCTGAGGGGCAGCAGGGCTGGCAGAGGGCAGGGTGCTGCTCCCACCCCTGTCCCTCTGCGGTGGCGCAAGGGAGATGCTGGTCCTTCTGCTGCTGATGCTCCGGCCCCTCAGATGGGATGGTGCTGGTGACAGACCCCAGACACAACCCGCTTTGAGGTCTTGAGACCTCCTAACGTTTTTTGCGATGCTGTTTGTGGTTTCCCATGAGCCTGGGCATTGACATGTTTCTGTAGGTAATCAATCTAATGTCTTGCAAAGCAGCTGCTTCTTCCACCCATCTCTTTTCATGCTGCATCCTCCTTTTGATGGGCAAAAAGCTGGGGACTGAGCACAGCCAGAGGCATTCCTGGGGTGCTTTGCACCATCCTGAGGTGATCTTGGAGGTTTCTAGGTGACCTTGGAGGTCTCTTCCAAACTAAATGTTTCTGTGATTCTGAGCTGCTCATTTAATTCCCTCCAGTTCTCCCTTGCTGTGGCAGCAGATGCAGCCCAGGGAGAAATGTTTCCATTTCACTTTGCCCCAGTAGCCAGGGCTGTGGTCTTGCTGGGGGGAAAAAAAAAAAAAGTGGCAAAAAAATCACATTTCTTGCAGGAAAAAAAAAAGGGCACACTGGTGTCTGCTGGGTATCAGAGGCAGTGGGTTGCTGGTTTCTGTCGTAGTTTCTCCATTCCCCCAGGGGTGTGGCAGTCTGGGATGACCAGGCGGAGCTGCCCCATTTCTCAGGATCTGAGCTTCACAACCTGAGGGTCTGTTATGGGAAAAGATGGGAGGTGGGATGGAGGAGGCTGGGTATAAAACCTTACGGAGGATCCTGATCGTTTTCTGCAGCTGCAGGAATTGCTGCGGCACACTTGGGCACCTCTGCAAGCCTTCATTTTAGCCCAGCCATGCCATTGAGCTGGATTGAAGCTTCATGAAGAGCCAGTCAGATTGGCAGCTCAGTCCCTGTGCCTTTACTGTACCAGTAAAAAAGAAAAAAAAAATCCACAAACATGCAGCTGGTCTTTACTGGGAGAACTCGCAGTGGGGCGTGTGATGCTGCTTGAGAGGAAGAGGAGGGGGGCAAGCGGCAGCTTTGGAGCATTATCAGAACCACCCGGCTGCAGGATGTGGGGAAAGTGTGAAAACAAGGGTGCTGCCAGAGACCTGCGTGCGGAGCCGGGCTGCAGGGAGTGGCCCCGGTGTGTGACCGCTTTCTGAAAAGGGCGGTGTGGTGTGGGGGGCTCGGCTTCGGACGGCCAAATTCACTGACACGGGATGAGGCACGAGATAAAACCCGGTTTTCTCTCCCTGGGCCACCAAGGAGCTGGCAGAGAAGGCTGCTTCGACCCTTGGGGCACCACCTGACTTGGTGGCACTGCGTGGATGTCATCGAAAGTGTTCCCGGGAGCCTCTGGATCAGCGGGGAACGGTGTATGGCCACAGGTGAGGATGCTCAGTGTTAAGGTTTCCCAGCCCTGGGGGGAATCTCCTCCAGCTCCTGCCTTTCTGCCTGTCAGGTGAGTGGTTTTGGTGTGGGCTGGGCTCGTGGCAGGGTTTTGGGGTCGAGGAGTGGGTCTGTAGTTATCGGCCGGTCTCAGCGCTTCATGTGACCTCGAGCAACACCCTGGGAATCTTGCCCCGCTGTGGAGTTTCTGACATCTGCTCTGCTTCGCTTGGCCTGCGAGTGCTTCTCTCTTTTCCTTCTTGATTTCTATGCTTCAAACTTCCTTGAAAATGCAGGAAATGAAACCACAGGGCTTTTTTGTCAGTGATGTGGGAGCGCTGAGTGTCCTTCCAGAGAAGAAATGAAATTTAAAGTGAAGGCAAAAAGAACAAGAAACATCTCTGCCCGGTCACACGCACTGGCTGCAGGAGCCCCAGGACCCCTGGGCGCAGTGCCCGGCGGGTCGGGGTGACCCAGGCAGCGATGTCCCTTGGGGGGCGCGTGGCGTGCTGCAATAAACTGGCTGCCCCATCACTGGCCGCACGTAAGCGGGGAATTGGGGTGCGTGAGGACCCCGGGACTGAGTTGCTTGACCCACCTTCACGTTGGCTTCTGCATCGGTGTTGGTGCTTGGGAGCTCCCTGCTTTGGGATGGGCGGGGCTTGCACCCTGGGCGCTGGCTTTGTGGAAATCCGGGAATGTCCCCGAAGTTTGCTCGACATCCACAAATCTCACCTGGGTGCTGCGAGAGGCCGGGCGCTGGTGTCCCAAGGGTGCTGAGGGGAACAATTCCCCCCTGGGAAGAGCATCCCTGGCCTCATGTCGAAATCTGGGGCTATCAGGGGGTTGGAGGGCTGCAATGTGGGGAGCACCCGCGGCAGCGCCGCCCAGCCGGCGGCTGTTCTCTGCGGCCAAACCCAACCAACCCCAAAGGGCCCTGGCTCTGCGCTGTGGCCGTGCTGAGCCCCGGGGCCCTGCCTGCGCCCCCCTCCCTGCCCACCCCGTGGTTCCTCCTTGCTGCCGGGCTGCTTGTGAGTGCATGACCCGGGGTGTGAGCGCCGAGATCAAGTAAGCGAAGTGCCTCGCCGCGCTCGCTGCCTCCATGTGACTGCAGTTTCCGTTAGCTCCTTCCGCAAAGGCTAACTCAGCGCCGAGCCAGAGAGCGGCTGGGAGAGGGGGCCAGCAGCTCGCCCCCGGCCTCAGCCCCCTGAGAGCCCCCCAAGCGTGGCGGTGGAGGGGCTGCTGGGCACAGGATGCGCTGCTGCACGCCCCGCGTGCCGCCCCGGGCGGTGAGTAACCTGCCCCTGGTACCCCACGGCACCCACTGGGGGGACGCTGAGGGGAAGGAGCTGCTGATACTGGGGGAGGCCAATGCTGAGCTGTGAGGAGGTGGTGGTGGGGGCAAAGGCTGAGTTGGGGTGGGGGGATGCGGCTCAAAGGGGTTTGGGTGCCACTGCCAAGCTGCAGCCCAAGCCTGTGGGGTTTTGGGGAGCAGTGCTGTGGGGAGGACACCACGGGGTCGATCTGTGCTGTGCTCTGGGGTGCTCTCACACTCTGAGGGTGAAGGCTTGGAGGGGCTGGAGAAATCAGCCCACCCCAAGAAGGGTTTTCCCACCCCCCTGGATTAATAAATGCCGATTTCACATCAGCTTTTGGCTGTCCCATGGAAGGAGATGAACCGGGATGTGTCCCCTGCTTCCTCTGGGACGTGAGGCTCCAGCTTCTCAGTCTGCCAAAAATAACCTCCGATTTCTTCTTCAAACACCGGCGGTTATGAAAACGCTGCTCACCAAGCCCCCGGCAAGACCTCGCTGCTCATTTGCCTGAGGTTCAGCTTTTCCCCAGATGCAAATACCATCAGCTCCGGTTCCACAAAATTAGCAACCGTGGACCTCGTATTGAAAAGCAGCCGCTTCCCCGGCTGCACCGCGGCACCTCGGGGTGGCAGCCAGCAGCAGTGGGTGCTGGAGGGGACACGCTCTGCTAGCAGTGGGGTTGGTGACCCTGGGGGGCACCGGGGAGGGGGCTGTGAGCCCCGTGAGGCAAGGAAGCCTCTCCTCGAGGGTTGCAGTTGAGCACGCAGCTCAGTTGAGCAGGGCATGGTGCTCGCTGCTGCAATAGGAGCCCGTCACCTCCGGGCATCTGACCTGGAGTTTCTGACCCTCTTGCCTCTGTCCCCACAGGAGAGCCGCTGCTGAGATGGAGGCCCTGCTGCCCGGTCTCTCCCTGCTTCTGGTCCTGCTGGCAGCGGGATGGGGAAATGGGGTGGGCGCAGCCTGGGCGATGTCTCCTGGTGGCTGCAAGCACGTAAGTCCTCGCTCTCACAGTTCTGATCTCCTGATCCTGCCCTACAAACCCCAGGCACCTCCAGACCTGCCCTCCCAGATACTGGCCTAGCACTGGAGCTAAGGCTTGGACTGGGATGCCAAAGCTCTGTCTGTGGAGCCACCACCTCATCCCCACTTTGCTCCCCAAAATTCTCATCCCCCTGTCTCCTCCTTCTCAAAGAGGTGTCGCATTTCTGCTTCTTGCTTTAGGTGCAGAGCACTGCAGACTGCACTGGGAGGTGGCTGAGCTCTGTTCCAGGAAATCTTCAAGGTGATATCGAAGAGCTGTTGCTCAATGACAACACTATCCGGGTCCTGGGCCATGCCTCTCTGCTCCCATACCCCCAGCTGAAGCATCTCAGCTTGTCCAAGAACCGGCTAAACCTCATCGAGCCTGGCACCTTCCTGGGCAGCCAAGGCCTCCACGTGCTCTCCTTGGCAGACAACCTCCTCTTCACCAACTACTCGCAGACAGCAGCTGCTCTTTCTGCTTTGCCAGCCTTGCGGATACTTGATCTATCTGGAAACTGCCTCACTGAGGACATGTTATCAGTTTTGCTCCTGAATCTGCCATCCTTGGAGTCCTTGTCAGTGGCCAGGAACGCTATCATGAGGCTGGACTCGTCTGTCTTCACCAACTTGACGCAGCTTTTGGAGCTGAACCTGGAGAAGAACTACATCTTTGAGATCGACCAAGCTTTTGAAGGGCTGCAGAAGCTGCAGAGGCTCAACATAGCTTATAACTACATGCCATGCGTAGTGGACTTCGGCCTGACCCAGCTCAAGGTGCTCAATGTCAGCCACAACATTATTGAGTGGTTTCTGGCCTTTGAAAGTGACGATCTCTTTGAACTGGAGGTGCTGGACCTGTCCCACAACCGGCTCCTGTTTTTCCCTGTGCTGCCCCGGCAGAGTAAGCTGCACTCCTTGCTGCTGAAGGACAACGAGATGACCTTCTACCAGCGTCTCCCCAACGGCACTTCCCTCGCAGATGTCACCGTGCAGTTCCTGATCATTGACGGCAACTCCACCAACATCACCACGGTCAACCTCTGGGACGAGGTCTGCTACAGCAACCTCTCCTCCCTGCGCCTCCTGGACATGAGCCAGAACCAGTTCTGGTACCTGCCGGAGGGTTTCCTGGCCAAGATGCCCTCCCTGACCCACCTGAAGCTCAACCAGAACTGCCTGGAGACGTTCCAGCTGTCAGAGGAGGACCCCTTGGCCATGCTGACGGACCTTGACCTGAGCCAGAACCAGCTGGTGGAGCTGCAGGTGGGTGCCGGGGCCACCCTGCCCAGCCTGCAGCTCTTCAACCTCAGCACCAACAGGCTGCGGGTGCTCCCCGCTGAAGTCTTCACCTACACCAGGAAGATCACTACAGTTGACCTCAGCCGCAACCGGCTTGACCTGTGTCCCCAGCCGGCTCTTGCAAGCGAGGTGGAGAGTCCTCCCTGCGTGGACATCAGGGGCATCGAGACCTTGAGCCGCCTCTACTTGGCCGGCTGCGGTTTGCAGGGACTGGCCGGCCAGCCCTTCCGAGGGACATCGCTGACACACCTGGACCTCTCTGACAACCAGCAGGCCCTGTCCGGGGACCCGGGGTGGCTTCAAGACCTTACTGCCACTCTACGGGTTTTGTCCCTCCGCAACACCAGCCTCTCCTCCGCTGTGGTGGACTTCTCCACCCTGCAGAGCCTCGCGGCCTTGGACTTGTCAGGGAACTCACTGAGTGCTCTCCCCGCGTCGCTGAGCGCCGTCAAGCTGCGCAGCCTGGACCTCCGGGACAACTGCCTCCCGGCTCTGCCCGCGGACGTGGCGCGGACGCCCCTGGCGAGGAGCCTGCAGGAGCTCTACCTCAGCCGCAACCCCTACAACTGCTGCACGCTGGGCTGGTGGGAGTCCCTGCAGCGCGTGGAGCAGCTGCGCGTCCCCGACGGGCGCGAGCTGACCTGCAGCTATGACTCCAGGACGCTGAGCGCCCGGGCGCTGCCCGAGACTGTCCTGCGGGCCTGCCGCTGGAAGGTGGCCAACATGGCCCTCCTCTACCTGGTGCTCGCCCTGCCCACCTGCCTGACGCTCCTAGTGGCCTTCGCTGTGGTCTTCCTCATGCTCAAGCAGAAGCTGCTAAAAATGTTGAAGAGCCGGTGCGGGGCATCCAGCCCTTACTGATGGGTGGGGGTGAGGAGGAGAAAGGGCCAGTGGCACTTGGGATGGTGAGCGTAGGCAAGACTTCGGACATGAGACGGAGTGGCTGAGAAGCAGCCTTTTGGTGCTGCTGCTCTGGGCACGTCCTTGCCCCAGGTGACCCAGCAGGGAAGTGTTTTCCTCCATACAGGGTGGTTGCTTTTATTTATTCACCCTGCCACAGCTGCCCTCCACATATGCCCATAGGACGTGCCCAGGGGCCAATGCACCACCCTGGCATGTGGCTGCATGGTGCTGGCACTGCTGAAGCCTCTAGTCGACTCCTGGTGTGAGCTGTGAAACCCCAAAGCCACCCTGGTGCTTGGGAACTTCCATGGTGAACATTTTGCATTTGTGGGTTCTGGAGGGCAAGGGTTGAAATCTCTGTGTAGAAGGTGAAAGAAGTAAGAGCAAGAGCTCTGGCTTGCTGGATTTGTCACTGAAACTTCAGCCTGGATGTCTCTGCGGGATATATCACTAAGAAAAAAAGGATTGAAACAGTGATGGTGCCCCGAGCAGAACAGTCCCCATCCCCATCCCCACCCCACGCTGCCCTGCATGGCAGTGAGACGAGGCGGTGTCAGCGGGGCATTTTGGTGCATTGCTGCTTGGATCCTGTCTAAAAGAGCCCCTTGGAAAGAACCTCAAGTTGCAACAATGCAAAATATTGACCAAAAGACACGAGAATAAATTATATTGCTGGTACTGTTCTTATCATCTGTTTATCTTTCCTGGCCCCAGTCGTGGCATGCCCTGTGAGAAATGGGGCAAGCAAAACCCGTGGGTGCAGAAACCCCAGCGTGGAGCCATGGGCAGGGATGCTGCAGGAGGGGAGCCAGCTTAATGCTGGAAAGGCTCGGGAAAGACTGTCAAATCTGCCTCAGTGCAGCTCAGGGCAGTTTTCTGGCCCTGTTTCAGACAGAAACAGCCAGAACCGAACCAGGTGCCCGCTGGGGAACCCCTCATGGCTGCATCCCCACGGGCTCCAGCCTTGGGGGATGGATGTGGATGTGGATGTGTGCTTCCACTGCAGCTGCTGCTGCTCCTTTTGGCAGGGTGCTGGGGGCACGGCCACGTGCTGGGGTGGCAACTGGGTGGCCACTGCTGCTCGTTGTGTGCATACAGCACGGGTGATGGGGAGCAGTGTGTGTGGGTTGGCCAAGGGGAAGCAGCAGGATCAGCGACGGGAGCAGTGGGTGCCTTCACCTCAACTGCAGCAAGGCTTTTGGTGTTGCCTCCGACCTGTGTTCCCACCGCCGAGTGAGGATGTTGTGCTCTGGGTGGGTAAAATCGGTTGGGTGAGCACGGAGGTAGCTGGGATTTGGTGATATTAATGTGAAAAGCTGGTGGAGGAATGGGGTTTTAATAAATAGGCAGTGAGAGGTGCCGGTGTCGCTCAAGATGCAAACCTCGGAGTGGAAGCACAATGTCCATGCAGCCTTAATTAACGTAAATGAGCTTGCTGTGGGACGTGTGTGAGAAAAAGAGATTTAATGATGAGCAAACATAGAGCCTGTTTAACAAAAAAAGAAGTATCTTGACCCATCAAGGCAGTCACACCAGCGTGCCTCCAGGCCAGACTCTGCAGCCGGGTTCTTGCATCATCACGGGTATTTTTGCTGGCCCGGCCCGGCGCACCCCTGGAGGAAACTCCAAGGCACTATTGACGAGGCTGAGACGTCATTTCGCTTCTGCTCTAACCAGAGAGGATCATATCTTATTTTTTTTTTTATCTTTAGAGGAAAGCAAGGGAAGTTGTTTCAACAGGGGCAGGCACCCCAGTAGCACTGAGATAATGCACCCTGGCTGCCTGCCCCCTCCAACGGTGGCCTCTGCCGAGCTAATGCCACAGCGTTACCCAAATCTTCCAAGCAGGAGTTTTGCAGTGAAAACAGGTGAGGCGTAACACCATGCTTTAATATTTCTGCGATGCCCCGTGCCACCTGTGTGCCTTGGGACGGGGGCAGAGGTTTCACCCCGTGTGCTGTGGCAGCCCTCCTGCCCAGCTCGGAGGCTGTGGCGCATCCGCAGTGCCCTGGGAGTGACGCCTGGGATCTTCCCGAGGAGCAAACTGAAGCTGCTGGGGTTTCTCTGCAGCAAGGAGCCGCTTGCCCTGTGGCCACAGAGGAGATCATTGTCTCTGCTACACCAGTGGCATGCAGTCAGAGAGCTGAGTTGAAAACAGAAAAAAAAAAACACAACACGTGGAGCCTTATCTGATGTGCAACAGGGGCTGCTGCTCGGCACAGCCACCATCTTATCGCCACTTTCAGGAGGAAGGCGGCTGTAGTACGATGCTCTGCGGACTAAACCACGCTGAATGACGCTCCTGCCCCTGTGTCGTTTAAAAAGCTCCTGATCCAGCTGGCGGCATGAAGCTGGGGCAGTTCGAGTGCGCAGGGTGGGAGGAGGCTGATCTTCTCCCTGTGGGGAAAGCCACGGCTGGCTGGGGCAGGGGCTGGCTGCGATGAGAAGCCTCACATGGGGATTTTCCTGGACGCTAATTGCCCTGAAAGCTAATTGCAGAGCTGTACATCATCCTGCTGGGAGATCTGGCTGACCTTGGTCGCCTCCCACTTCCTACCAGCACGATGCCGCAGATGGAGCGGTTCCTGGCGTGAATCCCTCAGCCACTGCTTAGTGCTCGGCTTGGGCAAAGCTCGACTGTGCTGTGATTGTGGAAGCGTTAAGCTCCAGATGCCCCATCCAGGGAAAACACAAGAAAAGGAGCAAGATATTTTCTCTTGCAGCGTCTTTTTTTTTTTTTTTAAGTTATTAATGTGTTGGGGTTTTTTTGAGCTTTTTGAGCTGCCAGACCTTTGCATTCGGCCTGGGGCAAGCTGGGCTTGTTCCTCCTCTTGCATCACCACCAAGAGAATAGTCATTTTGCAGGCTGCGCTGATTAATGGTTGCCGTAATCGCTAGCCTCTGCAGCTTTGCTCACGTGGTTGATTTGGGGTTCTCTGGCTGATTTTGCTGCTGCAGGAGAGCAAGGGCTTCTGCTCTGGCTCTGTGGGGGCTTTCTGGAGCAAACAGAAGTGTTAAAAGCCTTGGCTTTGCCACTGGAGTCCCAGGAGCTGCCCAGGAAGAGGCTCTACCGGAGGGGTGCCTTGGACAAGGCAGCAGACAGGGAATGATGACTAACGATGAGGTAAGGAGCCAGGAGAAGGTTTGTGCAATGCTTGGGAAACCACGGCTGGCACTGCGAGCGCCTGTGAGCAATGCAAGTATCAACCAGGGCCCAGGCTGCTTCTCAGCTGGTAGGACAGAAGTCGGTTTGCTCTCCTCTCCAGCTGCTCGCCTGCAGCAGAACGCCCGGTGTGCAGAAGTGGACTTGCTGAAGGCAAGATTTATCACAGAACTGACCCTTATCATTTCAGCGTCTATCATTTCATCATTTTCTAAAGAATCCTAAACTTAGTTCTTACAAGAGAGCTTATCTTGAAGAATACAAACCAGGGAGGTAGGCAACAGGGCTAGAACTTCAGTGGGATAGTTAAAATATTTATTTATTCGCATAGAGAAACTTTTCAATGATCACCAAAATGCTACTTGGAGGAGTTTTTGCTGTAGTTTTACTTACTTGCCACATCAGTTTCTTCCCTGGTACTATTTAGAGTACGCTGGGAACTGTAGTCTGATGAGGCAACGGTGGTAAAATTTTTGTTTTACTCTAACAGCACCCCTGGACTCTATGACTTTCTACCACACTACTCTTTTCAAATAGAGTAAGCACACCTTCCTAGAACCGAGCATTTACTGAAAGAGCATCATCTCTGGCAGTGTAAGGAAGGAAAAGGCCTCGCTTCATCAGTTTGAAATCACTGCCTTTTCAGAGTACTTTCAAGAACAACTTATTTTCTAAATATACCATTTCTTAAAAATAAGGATTTTTATTTGTGTAACCCGAAGCTGCAAATTTAAGCACTGCTTAGGGAACGTGAGAGTAATATGCTCATTGCAGTGGTGATTTATCCAGCAAATAGCTGAGTACACATTTCACATTACAAGTAGCAATAAATACCATATGCATACAATAAAGCTCTAACGTTGCTTCCACGATATAAATATTTAAGACTTCATTTTCAAATGAAGCTGAGCAGAAATCACAGCAAGGCAAGTTGGTGAGGTTCTCAGCCAAAGCGGACTGAAATGTAAACACATGAAAGAGAAATAATTTTAAATTATTGTAGGCACTCACACATAGGAAAAGATTAAAAACACCCAACAAGTTCAGCTGTCCCATTTCCATTTCTTAAAGTTTATTTAAACCTGAAACTGCTGCAATGCCTTTGGCCATGGAGGATCGGAGGCCTATGTAATTCAGTTCATCTAGTTGATGAACTGAAGAGGATGCAGCAGAGCAAGTAGGATGACACCATTCTCTCTGCTAGGCATATGGGATTTGTCCCTGCCCACCCAGGTTGTCTTTGCCTGGAATCAGACTTCTTCCCCTGACTCCACATCCCAGCCGCAGGACTCCAGCTGCTCATCCTGTGGAAACTCAACCTCCACGTCGTAGATAAAATCTGGGTCATCCTTCTTCTTCCTGTTCTTCTCGAAGAGCTCATCCATGATGCTCTTCCTTTTGGCTAGCTCCTTGTCATCCAGTTTGTTCATATCCTCTTCCGGGTCGATGGTCTCTTCCCGCTGAACCTTTTCCAGGCTCTCAGCCAGACTCTCTCCTCTCAGATGACCTTTCAGCAAGCTGTGCAGCTTCTCTAGCTGACGTAGCGAGACTCCTTCTAGGTAAGCCTTGTGCCGAGGGTTATTCTTCAGCTGCTCTGCAGCTATGCTGCAGTCTGAAGAGAAAACCACCCTGAAGAATTACAGGGACAAGCAAATTTCCTCATACAAAGAGATCCCCCACTCCCAAGCCCTCACAAGTGAGACCTCCAGGTTTAGCAGAGCCACTGCTTGGGTTAAGATGCTGACCTGGGCTTCCCAGGAGAGGGAGCATTACCCAAAACCTGCCTGCTGGTGCAGAGCTACCCAGCGGTGACTAAAAGTGGTGTTACTGACCAGCTGCTCCTCCTCTGGGTGTGGAGGGGACTGGGGGCATGCTGCAAGCAAAAACACCACACCTGAGAACTTGGAGAAATTCCTGACAGGCATGATGCGCTGGCGAGTCTTTTCCTTGTCCTTTTCTTCATAGATCAGGATAATGGACGGAGGCTTAAAGCGAATGCCGCACTTCTTCGCAACGCAAGCCATTGCAGTTCTTGCTGACAGCTGAAGCGCGCTCGGTTTTATCAGAAGTCCTCAGCAACTTCAGCGCTCACTGAAAAACAGGAACAAAGGGAAAGAAAGCATAAGTGGCTCTTGGTTGTTGTCTTTTATCAGGATTAGTGACCCACATGCAGTAACAACGTGCACCACAGTGCAAGTCTCCCTAACTCTGGGGGGACTTGAACACGTCCTTATGTGCAATTTGAGCTGGGCATGGGGAGCAGAATGACTCTCAAGGGTTCATTTACACCTTTGTTACCTCTCGGCTTTTGAATCTGGATTACGTATCACACACAAGTTAAATTCTTAGTCCACAGCTAAGTAAAGAACTGCACAGTCAAATGATACCTAAAGCACATTTCATAAGGTAAGGGAGAAGCCTGCAGGCATACAGTTGGCGTATCTAACGTGGGAATTCCTCTTCAAAAAAAAAAACAAAAACAAAAACATAAGAAGAAGGGCAGCAAGTCTGTTTTTTTGTAAAGGTTTCTTATGGTTTCAGAGTGATCTCAGTACAGCAGCATATCTATGACTAATGATGGATGGGATAAGGAGAGAGGAGATTCAAAATGAAGAACAACTGTGATTAGATTCCTTTTTAGGCATCAATGAAAATATGACATTGCTTTTAAAGAGAAATGACATCCACCTGTTTAGTCATTTTCAAGCTAAAGTAGACCACCAAGGAAACTGAGAAGTTAAGAGTGACAAGCAGAAATGCTTCGGACATAGGGCGTTAGAGTTGGTAGAGTTTAAGCTATATAATGATCATGAAGGTCAATGATTTATTAAGGTTTGAAAATACTGAGCTGTTGTGTGGGGAGGAGCAGGGAACTTTTGCCACACACAACAGGTGGAGAAGGAGGCGGATGGGGTGGAAGAGCTGACTGACTCGCTAAATCTATAGCTGTATTCATATAGGTGGCAAGGCCAGGCTGTATGTCCCAGAAATTCATTTTTAATGAACTAAGGACTGTGAAATGAATGACTGTGAAATTAATGAATAAGGACTGTGAAACCCTCGAGTATCTCAGCGCATAGGTCAGCTATGAAGTGAACGAGGTTAAAAAGCTCATCCATAATTATCCTTCTTGCTCTTCTCTGAAGCATTTCATCTGGCAACTGGGGAGAGGAACATTAACCTGGCTAACAGTGACAGCTTCTCTTTTTCTGCCTGATATTTGTCCACACACAACATGCTCGAGACCTCCTCGGTGTCAGCTTCTCCTTTAGCTCTGACGCCGCTCCTTCAGGTTGGATGGCATATGAGAGGAGACCGAAAGATCCGGGAATGCTGCTGCAGATCCTCCGTCCCAGCTCAGTGCTCTGGGTGCACGCATTGCTTTCCTTTGGGTTTCAAGTGAAAATGTGCTGAATGTCCAGGTTATATCTGACTGTGCTACAGCCTGCAAGAAGGCAAAGCATGGAATTACGAAAAACAAAACTAAAAATATATGATGGCTCCAAATCAAGAAAAAGTAGTAACCTTTAAAAGTTATGTTGAAGCTGAGGTGGAGGAATTCTTCTTTGTTAAAAACACATAGGAAAGAGTTCAAATTCGCAGTAATATTCCTCAATACTGAAAATTAACAACAGTGGCTCTCCTGTAAAGCAAAAATAGCTCAAAATAATAATAATAAATAAAGCAGAATTCAGAGTCCCTTTTGCTAACTTAAAACGAGAAGCGACGCCTCCAACGGCCGAAATCCCTCTGCAGAGCGTGAGCAGCATCACGGCAGGGACATCCCTGGGGGAGAACGACAAACGGGAGCAGAAGCCACGGGGGGCGATGAGCAGGGACAGGGCATCCCCTGCCTCCACGGACCGCAGCAGCGCTCCCGGTGCCCGTAGGAAGCCCGGCGAGCACCGGACCGGTGCCGGTACCGGTGCTGAGGCCCCGCCGGCCACAAAATGGCCGCCCCGGCCTCCACAGCGCGGGGGGGCGCAGCGCAGCGCTGGGGCCCGGCGGCAGGGCGGGGCGGCGGGGCCGTGAGGAGGAGGCTCGGCATGGCGGGGCTGAGCCCCGGGCTGGCGGCGCTGATCTGCGCCCTCCGTGAGTGCCTCGGTCACCGGGCGCGGTGGGTCCCTGTGGTGGGTGCGGGCGGCGCTGTGCCGGCGCTCACCCGCGCTGTGGTGTTCCCCAGAGGTGCAGGCTGCCGGCCGGGGAGCCGCCGTCACGCAGGAGCTGCTGCAGGAGGGGTTCCACAGGTGGGACCGGGTTTGGGGTCGTGGGGACCGGGTTTGGTTGGGTGGGGTCTGGGGGACACAGTGCTGGAGTTTGGGGTCTGGGGGATGTGGTGCTTGGGATTGGGGTTTTTGGGGGTGTGCTGCTGAGCTTTGGGGTCTGGGGTGCTCGGCTTTGGGGTTTGGGGATGTGATTAGGGTGAGCCATCAGAACCACAGGCTCCTGGTTGGTGAGGATGGGATGGCTCTGGGTGGACAGGAGTTTGTAGTGCGGGACACGCAAGAGCTGCACCTTGCCTCCCTGCGTGGCTGTGCTGCCTGGGGAAACGTGGGTGTAAGCGTGCTGCTTGTGTGCCTTGGTTTAAGGGACCTGCTGGTGAAGGTTGACCTTGGGGAAACCGGGGAGTGGGCTGGAGGATGCACGGTGGTTGCTAGAAGTCACCTGCCGCCAGGAATCTACGTGGATCCCTACGAGCTGGCGTCGCTGCAGCAACACAACTTAACGAAGGTAACGACCCAGAGGGTCAGGCCGCTTGCAGCCTCTCAGGTAAGGGCGTTCAGGTGCTCTGCCAGCAGCTGAAGAATGCCTTGCTCGGGAAGCTGCGCTCTCTGGTCATCATCTGGCTCCTTAGACCAAGGTGGTTTGTTCCCTGGCCTGGAAGTTGCTGCACAGTGATGTTTGTGACTTCTCATTGCATCGCTGTCGTACCGGCACCACCTGGCACAGGGCAAGTGTTGTGTAATGTGCTGCTGATGTTTCTACACGCAGGCGTGCCTGCCAGCTCTGCTTAGCCTCAGATAAGTAAAAGCTATTGGTAAAATGTTGGTATTGTGGTAAAAGCAATTCAGACTGAAAAGAAGGATGATTAACCCCAGCAATACAGGAGCAGGGTGGGAACAGGCAGGGAGAGTTTTCAACTGGGCTGTTCGGTCTTCCTGCCAAGACGCTGTGTCAAGGTCTTCAAAAGTGCAAAGCAGTGGCTTCCCTGGCGTGCTTCAAGTGGATCCGGACTGAGGAGTGTCACCGCTTCTGTTTCATCACAGCTTTCCTTCCTACCTTCCAAAACATGCTTCATGGGTTGGATAGAGAGACATGTGTTAAGGCTGTGGCTTTATGGTAATCTCCTTAGGTGCTTAATTCAGTTAAAACATAGAGGCAATGCCACTGAGCAGCTTCTGTTGAAATGCTTGCAAGCGCAATTACAGCCTTGCTAATTGGTGTTACTAATTAGCGCCTGTTCAGTTAGTGTCAGGCTATCAGAAAGGTTGCATTGCAGACTTTCCATAAGTAAGAATGACTTACTGGAGAGTGAGTTGAAAAGCTGTTTTGTAACAGCGTAAGGACAGAATTTCCAACCTGATTCTCCTAACCAAGAAATTGGGCCCAGTGTTAGAAAATAGAACAAGGAAAAAGGTTTCCACTAGAATTGCATTGCAGTAATCTGCCATGTCTAATGAGAGGAGACAATCACTTCCCAACACTGTCTTGGTGCTGGGCATCTCCTGGGAGGGTACCTAAGTTGTACAGCTGAAGGTAAGTATCAGAGAGATACTTAAAGATTTTCTGAGTAGCTGTTATAGACAGCTGTGGGGGTTCAAAGTAAGCAAATGTGAAACCTTCCCCTACGCACAGAATAAACTCCAACAGTAGTTTTCTTGGTGCTCTGAAGAACAGTGTGTTAGTGCAGGAGTTAAACTTTTTCCCCCCTTCTGATGCTGCGTTAGCTTACTGCAGCAGACTGTGATCACTTAAGTCCCATAATCATGCATGAAATATTCATACCTCTTTTTTTTCCCCCCGTCTCTCTCTCCTGTGCTGATTCTGGTTGCGACCACATCTGGATCTTTGTGTACGTGCAGGCGGTGTTAATTCCTGACGTCGTTGATGTGGAGGCTCCTGAGTACTCAGCCACAGGCCTTGTGGTTCTCCTGTACCTGGAACGCGACCCTCGCTGTTCACACTGTTTCAGAGGTGTTTTGCCTGTGCATGTGCGGTACCACCGGCCGGCAGGGGATGGGGAGGAGGCACTGGTTGCTCTGAAGAGTCCAGAAGTACTGGTCTGCTGCTGCGATGGTGAGATAGAGGCTCTTTGTGTACTCTTTTTGGGGAGAGAGGAGGAGCTGTGGGTAGTACAGAATCTAGATTTATACCTGTTTTCTGGAGGAAAACATGGACCCCCCACATGAACACGAGGGGAGGATAGCAGCCCTGATAAAGGCCACGTTGTCTTCCTCTTAGCATATGCTGCGCATTAGGGTGGACGCTGCTGCCTGACCAAAGGCAGACTGATTGTTAACAGACTGCTTGGAGTTGTGCTGCTGCCATCAAACCCTTGTACTGTGGGGATGGGCTCTTTTGCCTGTAAGCACTGGCAGTTGGTCTCTTTGTCACACCCCCTGCAGGCCCTGGTTTGTTAAAGGTCGGCTGCTCAGACCACGTTTTCACAGCATTCTTGTGGCAGCTGAGGCTGTGCAGTGTATATTGAAAATTATTCACTGTCAGGTACTTAGAGCAACCAAAGTGTTCTAAAGGTTTCCAAGCTTTTCTTCCTGTGTTTGAATAGGGGAGAAAAGATAGCAAACACTTTTCCTGATGGTTGTGGTTCCCAAATTCTTCTAAAACAAGAATCTGGTATCCTCTGACAGTGAATATTTTATGTGAACGTTGGAGTTCTCTGTTTTTGCTAAAAATTGTACTCATTTTTCATGAAGTTGTTCTTGCTAGCCCCCACATCAAATGTGCCACTGATTCTCAGCTCCTTTATCTTATTCTGGGTGTTATTTGAGCAGTGATTTTCTGGATTAAACTTAGGGGCAGGAAACACTTCCTTGATCAGATAAAAGGAGTGTGAAATACTGCTATTTTTTTCTGCCATGTTTAATATTGATGAGCAGGAAAAATATTTATTATTAATATAAAAGCCGTTAAAGGATTGGAGAGGAATTCTTGCATGCATCAACGGGAGGTCAGCTGGGAAAAACGAAAGAATGTCTTCCATGGTTTTGGGGAAGAGAAATTGTAACTGCATGGCTAGAGTTGAGGGGTGTGCATGCCAAAGGTGAATTCTTTGCCCCATTAAGGACAGAAGGTCCAAGATCACATGGGTGAGATTCTTCCATAGGTATCCACTGTATCTGTCTTATGTAGATCACCTGTCAACGGAGAGCTGGAAGCCTGCTGAAGTGGAAGCTCCCTGCTCAGGGAAAAGGGACTACCCCTGCCAGTGGTACAGCGCAGCACACAAACCTGTGAGTTCATATTTCTGAAGGAAATTCTTGGTTCTTGCTTAACAGTGCTGCCTCTTTCTGCGATGAGCAACTTGCAGAGCACAGGACATAATCAATAAAAGCCTTGTTGTGTGAATTCTTACAGAGGCTCCCTTCCTTTCTGACCTGGTTTTAATGGGTGTCGTCCTGCCATTCTGACGTGCCTGCAATTGCTCAGTGCTCTTCTGTGCTCTTGACAGTGGCATCTCCTCATCTTTTTTTTTTTTTTTCCTTAATACTTTGCTTCGAATCCTAGGATATAATTGGCACTAAATTAAGAAAAACCATAGTATAGGTTTTTCAGATGAGTAGCAAAGTGGGAGAACCCTGTTCCTATCTAATAGAAAAAGGAGTAAACCCCCTAAAGTTGAAGGAGTAAGATCTTTAAAAAGGCCACTTCTGTTTGTCATTGGATTGGCTAAGTGTCTAGATGAAATTTTCTTTATTGTGTTCAAAACTAAGGAAAGTTGGATCCTTAGTGTGGTCAACAACTGCTTTACAAACTCAAAAAGGTTGTGCTAGTGTAGAGATTCAGAAATAAGACCAATTTGTGTAATAACAAATCTGTTGGTTGTGTAACATGCATGTTTTCCTACGTTTAAGACGTCTGCAGATGTCTGTTATGTGTTTTGGAGCTTTCTGCATCACAGAGAAGCCAAATAGTTGTTTCCCATGGAGAAAACTGGCTTCTCAGTGATCTGCAAAATGCTCATTCAGAGAGTGTCTCTATTCAGTGCTGTATTATGTACATGTCCTCACTGGCAAGCTTAGAGTAAGAACAAAGCCGTGGAGGATATAAATAGCTACTATTCAAAATGTAGCAGAAACTTTTTGAGCTTTGTACAATAAGACCAACTGGCTCTCTTTACGGGCAGTAAATCAAAAGGTTAAGTTCCATCTCAGTTTTCTTCTGGGATTAAAAAATCAAGCCTTAGGAAAGGGCTAGTTAAATAGTGGTCTGGTTACTAGTCCTCTAATCTGCAGTCAGAAACAGCTTGTTAAGTGTGCGTAATCCATGTATTTTTCTTTTGTAGGCATATGAAGAATTGACTCTTCAGGTTCCAGTGGGGCTCAAGCAACATAGTGCCTTAGTGTGCGTTGTGACTCTTCTTGCCACGGTGTTCTGTTCCAGTCTGATTCTTGCTGCTGTATGCAAGCACGGACACTTCTTCTCCCTAGTCACCTGCTCAGAATAAAGAAACAAGGAGCAACTGAGCTCTGTGCAGCAAAACTAACTCAGTGTTACATTGGGTTCCTAAGTGAATCCTTCTCTACTGTTATTTATATCTTGGTAATTCATGCAGGTCCCGTAACAGATTATAGTTCTCTTGGCCTAATTCTTACAAACACCTTTCATGCACAGAAGACCACTTTGGTATACTGTGAATAGACAAAGCAGATGGAGGATAGCAATAGAGCTGCAGAAAGCTGAAAGGACTGCCACAGGCAGTGCAGCAGTAGTCAGGAACAGAGTCTCAGTCTCTGATTCCCTGCCCCAGGCCAGGGCCTGCTTCAGCTATAGTGCTGCTCCTTGCAGAGGTGTTTGTAATTTCTTGAATTCAAACCACCTGATTGGGGAGTAGTTATTAAGGGTATGAAAAACATTATCTAGTCATAAATGTTTCTGAATTTGAAGCTTGTTTAAACTGTCCACGTGGGTCATGCGTGAATTTGCAAAGAGGAATTCTTTATTTGGGACCGTAGAAGGCTTAAACAATCTGTGCTCTGCTAAGGACTAGGAGGGATTAGTTGCTCTTGGTCAAATCATTCAGAGTTGAAAGAGCTTAGAAAGTTTGAAAGGAATTTCACCCTGTATCGGAAGCTAAAAGAATCTCCCTTGGGAGATTAAAGCTGATGAAAAGATACAAACTAGAAGTAAACATTTAGCAGACTTGTATTCAGCCATCAGAGCAGTTAATAAATGCATGGAAATGGAAGGCTTGCTTAATGGAAAAAATGAGTTGCTCTGGATTGACAGAAGGTGGTTGTTGTTTTTAATCGTCAGTAGGTGGCATTGTGACCTTACTGACAGGGGTGGTTGGAGAAAATGTTATACCTCACAGAGTTAGTTAAGAGCAGGTGATTTTTGAGGGAGTGTGATTTGAAAACGCTGGTTTTTAAATTCTGTCCTCCTTTATATGCAGCCATGACTGCTTCACAGCAGAATCAGCCTTTCATCACTGTCCAGCTGTAGCTTCAGGATCCCCTGGGCATCCTTCCTCTGCTTCTGCTGAAATTCAATAGAGAGCTCGTCTTGTGACTTTGCCCGCGACAGGTTGGCAAGTGCTCTGACACTGGGCTCTTGTTTTCCTCTGACTGTGCTGAATGATGATGGCTGCGCCAGTACTTCATGCACTACCTCAGAGGCGTCATGCACTGCATCTGTTTGGGGGAAGGGAGAAATTAAAGAGGACAATTGCAGGGAGATTTGGTGGCTCTTGCAGTAGGTCTGAGGAGAGAGGCTGTAATACTTGCCTCTGAGTGACATTTTTAGCTCCCGGAGTTGAGTTTGTCCTTGAGCTTTCTCTCTGGTGCAGGTACGTTATTCTGTGTTGCAGTTTGACTCGTGGAAAGGCAATGTCTGAGATTGCCACTCGGCTTGGCAGGTCTTTATCTCCTGAAAGCCCACAATTTCTTTAGCATCAGATAAGACTGGTTGAAAATCACAAGTATGCTAAAACAAGCTGCCTGACAGTGTAATCCAGTGAAAGGAAACTCATTTCCTTGTGACAAATGAGGAAAATATTGCAAGATATAAAAGATGATGAGTAGATGATTTGGAAATGAGTGCAAATGGTGATGCAAGAATGTAAGTGCATTAGTGGTAGGATGTTCTATGAGCAACTGTGGCAGGAGGGGCTTGAATTATAGGGGGCTTAGCACTGTTAGTATCAAAGAGATTGTTGACTTTAGAACAGAGTGTAGCTGCTGGAGGGTGAGAGGGAAGGTTTTCAGTGCACTAATCAGCTTGTGTGGCTCCTGGTTTACTAAGTATATCTACTGAAACTTCATCAAGGTCCCACTGATGAGGTTTTCAGGTGAGCTGGAGTAACATTGATTCTGATTAATGTAAAATATTAGAGAAGTTGCAGAAATTTCAGTGGATGTTTTTGCTATGGCAAATAGCAAGTATTTGTTCTTTTGAAATGCATAGCATTTGAATTAAAGTACAATAGATGTTCTTTAAAAGCTGTAAATAAGTATATTGTAGTGTTAAGCATGAAGGAATTAATCTCCAAGTTAAACTTCCTCTCCCATACCAGAAACTAGAGTCATCAAGCAATCACTGCATTTAACAGGCATGCCCTGGTGCATGCCAGATAGCAGAATGTAGGTGCCAGTCCTGCAGGAATTGCTTTTAAGTGCAGAGGAGCTGTGAGGCAGTGAAAAAATTATTTGAAAAAAAATCTGGCAGAAATGAGGTGACTGCCTGGTAGTTTGAGTTATTAGCAAGAGAACATAGATACATGGGTTGGGTGCAATTTATTCATCGTTAACGGGTATAAGGACAGAATTAAAGGGACTACAGCAATGAAAGAAAAGGGGGCATTAAAGGCCATTTTAGGAGTTAAGACTTTCTGAATCACCAATGAATGTGTAACAGCAACAAAGTACTCCTAGTTTCTTTTAAGAAGATGTGCCTGGGGAGACAAAAGAATGGGAGGGGGTTAAGGGTTCTGAAAAGGGTTTGGAGCAGGAATAGGGTGGGTTTAGGGGTATGTGGCTGAAGCAGCAAGGAGAAATAAGATTTTATAGGGAAGGAAAGCAGAGCTGAGGGAACTGTGAAGCATAAAATCTGTAGTTTCTTGAGAGGTACATGACAGTGCAGAGATGAATTAGCTTGAGCAAAAAGGAGAGTCAAATACGGAATAGCATTGGAGAGGGACAAAGCAATATGAAAGGAGAAGTGATGAAGAAAGAAAGTGGCCAAAATACTGTGGATGTGTAGGGGCAAGGTTTCCGTGAGCAACCACTGCAGTAGCTCTGTGGAGAGTAACAGAAAATGATGACCTAATGTAGCTGAAAGCAAACGGGAAAGGTTGATATGCACTGTTTGGACTTGTGTGCTGGCGTGAGGCTGTAGGGGAAGCTCTCCTGTAAGATGTTTATCAAGAGGGGCTACCTGATGCGTGCCCTTCTGAAGGAAAAATCAGATGTTGCTCCAAGCCTGGACTGACAGAAGAGGTGAGATCCAAGCCGCAGGGCAGGTGGATGTCTGGGGAAGTTAATGTGGAAAATGAGGTGTGTCAGGGATTTTAGGGGAGACGACTTGAGGACACACGTGGTGCTTTCTCAGCTGTGTTGCTGTTGCATCTCTTGGTACCTGGGTGTGAGTAGTTACATGAGATGGCTCAGCTCACTGATGGAAGTGGCGACACCAGAAGTTATGCTGAGCACCGAGCTCGTGGACTCCCGATTGACCTGGAAACATAGTGGGGGTGGTGTTAATTTGCTGTGGGACAAAAACGAGCCCCTTCCAGCACCTTCAGGGCACGAGCAAGGGTGGCACACGGTGCGGATGAGGAAGCTCAGCCCGCTTGGTGCTCCCAGGCACCCATTTGTGGCCTCCTGGCTGGGAGCGCTGGCTCTGGTGGGCCTGAAGGAGAGGCAGCAGTGGGCGAGCTGGTTTTCATCAACGAAATATGAAGGAAATAGATCTGAACTAAAAAATGGGAGTGAGGGCTGGGTGAGAGCTGGCTTGGACAAGCTCTCTCCCTTTGGCTTTTTCCTGTTTTTATTTTCAGAGCTGCGGGGGGTGCCCCCAGCTGGCCCCTCGTACCCCAGGGGGACACCGCTGGGCTCTGAGGGGCCGTGAGGAGGCAGCGCGGAGACCCCCGGGGGGGGGGGGTCCCCTTCCCGCCCAGCCGCCTCCCCACAGCGGCGCGGACTACATTTCCCATCACCCCCCGCGCGTCGCCCTCGTCTCCCCGCGCGGGCGGGGGCTGCCGGGAATTGTAGTCCCGGCGGCGGCGCCCCTCCCTCGCGGGCTGTGGCCACGCGCGGCGGTTCCGCTTCCCCCTCCGGCTCCTGCCGCCGCCGCCGCCTCGGTGGGTGCCGCCGCCGCCATTGCAGAGGCGCCGTGTGGCGGCCGCGCCCCGCTGCCCCGCTCGCCCTTCCCCGAGGCGGCCGGCGCCGCCTCAGCCCGGTGAGTGCCCGGCTCCCACCTGCCGGCCCCGCCGCTCCTTTGTGGGGCCCTCCCGGGCCTGTGGCGGCGGCGCCGGCCCCGTTTGCTGCGGGAAGCGGCCGCGGCGTCGCCTTCTGGGGCCCGGGAGGGAGCGGGAGCGGCCCGGCCGTGAGGGGCCCTGGCTGCCCCGTGGTTACCGTGGGGTGGGGTGCGGGGGGCAGCCGCGGGGTGTTTGTGGTAGAAATGCTGGAAAAGCCCCGCTCGGGGCGGTTTCCGCAACCCAGGTGCGGCTCAGGTTGGGAGCCGGCTCCTTTGTGGCCGGGCAGGGGGCACGGGGCTGCCCCCCCGGGGCCGCCTCCCCGCCTGCCTGCCGCCGCCCTGTCACCGGCAGGGCCCGAGCTGGGGGCCTGGTGCCTGCGAGCAACCTCCCCGAGGCTGGTTTGGGAGCCCGGAGGCCATCGGCTGCCCTTCAGGCCCCGGGCAGCAGCAGCAGCATCGTCATCCGGCCGTGCTGCCCCTCTGACGGTGAGGGGGGGGCTGCTTTACAGCCCTTTTTGGAGGTATCACGATAAGCAGCACGGTAAGGGGGCATTCCGGCGTGGCATACGGTGGTTTTTTAATCCTCTTATTTGTGTGGTTTTCTGCATTTGCCTCTTTTTCTTTTTTTTTTTTTTTTTTGGATGTGTTTTATGCTTGACAAAGCGGGCTTTCTCTTTTAAAAAAGTCTAGGCTGTGCTTTTCGGTGTGGACTGACTTCAGGGTGTGCATCCCGGAGTGGTGCCTCCCCCCCTCAAAAAAAGGGAACTGGCTACTTGGTGGTTCACTTTCTTCCTGTAGGAGATGGAGGTGATTTAACTCGCAGAGATACTGTGGAAGCAGGCTACAAAACATCCGCGTGTAACCAAGTGCGCTGTTCCAGACTTGTGTTACCTGAGAGTGGAGGGATTGGGTCTTTTATTATTACAGACTAATAGACTGAAATAGAAGCGGCACAGAAGCTGAAAACATAAAGCCTTCGCATTATGAATTTTTTAGTAGAATCTCTAAAGGAATTGGAATGGTTTAAGTCAGAATCCACCAAGCGATGTTCTAGAGGAAGGAAAAGCCATCCTCTGATGTCTACTGGTTGGATCCTTCAGTTTCTGAGGCTAGAACAAAAAAGCAGTAACATAGAGTCTCTGAGCTACCTTGCACGTGGGATTAGTGTCTGCTTTGTGCAGATGCCATAATTAAAAATGTTGGGCAACTAAATGGGCAACCATAGAAATGTCTGTCAGCGTCTGCTGTACGTATTTTGAAGTTTTAACAGAGTGCAACGTGTTTTGGTGAGCTGGAAGCACGCACGCTCTGAGCTGCTCTGGGGCAGCTTGTCAGGGGCTGATTTACTGGGATGAAATTTGGGCCCGGTTACAACTCGCCCGGTTGGCCAACTTGGGGAGATTTGTTCCGGAGGCACCTGCTCTCATTTCCTCTCTGGGATGGATGCTGGAGTGGATGGGTGAATGCTTTGACCATGTAAGGCAGGTCTCATCTTGTGCTTATTTTAAAATGTGTCCTTTTAAAAACTCATGCATGCTTGCATTGCTTAAGTCAGCCTTTCAGCTGCATTTAAAAGGGAAAATCTGAGCACCTTTGGTTTCTAAATAACTTCAGGAAAGGCGGTAAGGGTATTGATGCTTCTGA